CGTCGTCCCCGCGCTGCTCCCGTCCGAAATCAAGTTTCGTCTCAACACGAAGGGGGGATCTACCCAGTAAAAACAGGTGGCGGTGGCGTTCGGAATTCCATCATTAATAAAAAGACATTTCGGTGGGCAGATTTATTACGCTGCCGTGTTAACAAGAGAGAAGGAGCTTTTCTAGCCGTCATATTAACGCTCCACATTCTGTACACAATCCACAACTACACTTGATAAATTAAAGTAGTAAAAGATCTGAAGACTATAATCTATCACTTTAATGCTTCACTGATAACGTACAGAATCAATTTCAATGACTATCTCTTAAAAAAAAAAATTACAACAAAACTCGCTCCCTGTTTAACTCCTGTTAGAACCCAGTGTACCATCGAGGATCGCGCATTAGCTAATATAACGCACAACGTAGTTTCCTGCAAGGATCTAATTCTGAGTTCAGGCCAACATTACCTTTTAACCCACAGTGTTCGCAGGGCCCGCCTGAAGCGTAAACAGCACAAGCAACTACAAGGGGACCTGCACAGGCTCAGCAATTCGCAGACTGGCTTGACCTGCCCCTTTGGCAGATTAAGGGTCTCACAAATCAAGTGTGTGGGAGGATTCAAAAAAGTTCATCTTGCACGCTAATAGTAAAGCACATCTCCAAAACAAGAGCATTTAAAGAATTAACTCTGACTTGCCCAACCCTTTGTCCACAAGTGAGAGTATTTTAGCATACTTTGGTATGTTTCAACTGATGCTTTTAGCCACAAAGTTCTGTATCTGACACTAACACTGCAGGTAGCTGTTACTAATCCACACAGAACTGAAGATGTCTGTTGCATGACTTGTATCAGAAATTCCACATATCAACAAGGTATCCGCATTTGACTCTCTGAAACTATCTGTAAGGTACAGATAAAATATTTCACAGTACCGCTGACAAAAATATTTTTTACCTGCGATTTAGCTCATGTTGACTTAGCAAAAATTGTGGGGTTTAATATATTATCCTTTTAACAAATTTTCACATAATTCATACCTCCAAGTCAGAATAGTATCAGGGCAGTATTACCACATGGGCTGATTTATTACATCAGCAAAAGAAACAAGCCTCCATTTTACAGTAACAAAATATTAATTAACAATACAATGCTAAAGATATGAGAAAAAGAAAATAATATGAAAACATTTGGAAGCAGAATACCCTGAAGGCTTGCAATATTACACATAAATTGCCCTTGATTTTCCTAGGAAACTGCTCAAAATGTACAGTGAGCATTAAAAAGTTAATGTATGTACTAACTGAATAATAGTTTCCTAATTTCAAAGTTCAGCTTAATTCTTCTAAGTCTGAGGAACAGGAAAACATAGCCAAATTCCCTGAAAGAACACAAACCAATAGCTATACAGAGTGCTGCTAACATGCTTAAGAAAAGAGCAACAGGCACTATTTGGCTGCTTGTGCCCCATATGTTAATTACCATCTATTTCATTTCCTAGCATTACAATTTATAAAAAGTGGCTAAGAAGAACATTTCCGCAGAATTATGATCAATTACAGTTTTTAATGTTTAATATACACAAGGCAACGATCTGACTACATTCACTGAAACCACAAAATGTGCGAGGAGGAATCTTCTTTCAGAGGCTGGGTCTGTAAACTGCAGCTGCACAACACTCTTCATTTCAAGCGCAGAATTCTCCTGATTAGGGACAGGGAAGTTGAAAGTTCATCATTAACCAAAAAACCTCAAACATGCATATCAAACCCAGACCAAATATTTATCCCCTTCCACAGTTTTCTGTGCAGATACATACATATTACTAAAGTAACAAAACTAACTAGAAAGCACACCAATTTTATTTTACCAAAAAAAAAAAAAAAATCTTGAAAAGAAATGTAGTTATAAAATATTTTATCTTTTGTACACTGTGGTTTAGTATTTCATACAGAATCTCAGAAAAAGTGCTTTAATTGAACCTTCAATATATTTTGCCATAATCTTTATGTTAACAGGATTCTACAAAGGTTCCAGGAAAGAAATACTTATGAAACAGAGAACAAGGGAACATATAAGCCATTACAGAAGATTGGATTAAAATGTACTTACCCAGGCCTCTCAAATATCATACATCTCCATTATGTAGGCTTTAGGCACCAAGCCAATGGTTCCCTTCATTTCTCCTACCCACCAGCCAAATCTATTGTACTCCTAATTGAAAACAATATGCAATATTAACCTTTAGTCTGATATATATGCAATAGTGTTTTCTATGCAACTCCTTATGGATGCTTTTTCTTATATACAGTTATAATAATTTCAACTGAAAATTAAAACATATCTTTTTGTTAGAGACATGCACATGCAGAGTTAGGCAAAGATAGAAGTTAAATTTTAAAAAGGCCAGGCACACTCAGGAAAATTTCTTCATTATGGCTACGCTTCTCTATAACACCTACTAAAAATATCTGACCTCTCCATCCTCTGTTCACCACAAATATAAAAACCTTATCTTTGTAGCTAAAATCCAATAGCACAATGTTGACATATAAGAATCAACTGGGATTCTCTCAGTATCACAAGGCTAAACTCTAAGAAACTTACACCAACTTATTTTAAAAACTACTTTGTTCAAATGTGAAGGGAACATTATATGTCTAATACATAATTTCTTTCTATGGACAAGGTCTGCTATTGCCTTATGCTTGCAGAAAATTCTATGGCAGACCTCATATGTCTGACAGATGACTAATGTACTTTTGTTTGAAATTTGTTTAGGCTTAGTGAGACAAATATGAAACAAAATGAATTATAATAGTTTAAAGAAATAATATCTTCCAAAAGCAATACCAAGTAAGAGTATTGTGGGATAAAAATTTAATTTTTTTCCTATGAGGTAAATATTTTAAGATCAATCCTAACAGCGGTTCAATAAATTGTAACAGCTGAAATTGCACACACACATATATTGAGTTACAAATGAAGCATTATTAAAACAGAGACCTCATTCAAAATGGAATTATTAGCAAGACAGAAATTACTTTGTAACAAACATGGAAAATACAAAATACACAGATATCTCTGATAAGCAACATCTGCTTCCTGCTACGCTGCTCTTCTGACGAGAAAACCGAAAGGCTATAGGATTTTGAATTAATGGTCCTACTGAGATGACACTATAAGCTATTATTTTTACTGTAGATAAACTTTTTCAGTTATAAATAGTAAAGTGGAGCTTAAGGGTTAATGGAGTTTCATTAGAGCCCGAGCTATAATGATTTGCTGCTGGCATATCTGGCCTGGTCGAGAGTTCTCTAGGGTCCTATGAGGTGCTTAGTGTACTCAGTTCTCCCTGTGCTTAACTATGATGAAGCCCTGTTGATGGCCAACTTTCATGCGGGCCCAGGCTTTTTTTTTTTTTCTTCTTTTTTTCCCTTTAAACAAAACAAAACAAAACCAAAACCAAACACACTTGCATGCAGGCACACACACACACACTTTTGTAATTTCTTATTGTGGAGGGCTGAACACCCGTCTTAAATTAAACATGTTCTTCCTTCTCTTCACAGTGAACTGGTGATTTAAAAGACTCTATCCTACCATCCATAAAATACTGCAGCAAGTGTGATCTAAAGAAAATCCATATAAAAAGCAGCAGGAAAACCTTCGTTTATGACGTGAACACACAAACTAGAAAACTTCATAAATAATTCCACCTTATTCCACTTTCCACTGCAGAACAGACTGCTGGGGATGGGTCTGGTTGGAAAGTCTCGAGGTATCTGAACCTGATCTTGCTCTCAGAAGTTAAGAACCACTCATAATCTTTCCCATGGGGGTACACATTACACCCTAAATCCTTAAAGGTTAAATAATACCCTGACACTGAGGTTTATAATGTTCAAGATCAGCTACATGTTTAAAAAAATCTATGTTTTATCTCACAACACACTGTTTAAATATACAAACTAGATCTCTAGACTGAAGTGGGAAATTGTTGAAAGGAGCAGTACTCACGTAGACTACTGGAATCTCAGCAATAAATCTCTCCAAGAGAAAGCAACAAAAGTTTTTAAGCTGTTACATGGAACTCATGAAGTGACTGACAAGAGTGATTAAGCAAGTTTTGCTAGACAGCAGCCAAAAAAGCAAACAATACATGAAATGAGGGAAGTGGCTTAGTTAAACGGTCATTAAATTGCATATGACAAATGGCACAGAAAAAGCCTGTGGACTATATTATCCATTGAAAATGTTCCACTTAGCAACACTACATGAACTTAGAAATAATTGTTTTAAAAGAAACAATTCAGATACCTCAAATTAAAATTAAAAGCATGCTGCTGTTTTGAAAACTTTCTGGGGTTTGCTACTTACTAATGTACCACTTACTGCTCTGGCATGAAGCTAAGTGAGAAGATGAAATGAATGTTGATGTAAAAGACTGGTAAACTAATTTAAGGATTCACTGCAACCATTATACCATACAGACAATATTGCAACACAGAAGCTTTTACTTTACATTACTATTCTTTGCATGGGTCTCAAGAGCAACATGAATCCCAATTAAACTATCTGCAGTCTATAAGAAGTCTGAACAAAAGCATAAAGCAGATACCTGGCTACAAGGAATATAAAACTTTAATCTCAGGTTTAAGAATAAGTAGATAGCACTCCTTTTTAAACTAATTAAAGTACAGACATCTCTCTTTACACTCCTAACCACTCCCTTCTATCCTCAGTACCATAAAAGAGCGCTTACTCATCAGGCAGACAAGAAGTTTCCCCCCAGTCCTTTCCTGAATTCACATATAAAATCCAAATTGATGTATTGTTTCTATCAACGTTATCAATTATAAACTCCTTCACAGCAATATGATTCAATTACTACACTGCTCTTGTGAGGTCCACACGTCTATTACGGCTGCTTAAGATGTGTAGACTAAGTCCACATTTGTGGGAAATAATGATTAACATGCAGAAGGATATGAATACAGTTAGGAGTTTTATACGAATCCTTAAGAGTTGGGAAGCATGGTGCTTTTGCAAGCATCAGCTTCAGATCTCAGGTACCACTGGGTTTACCATCTGGTATCCCTCACTGCATTCAGCTCTTAACATCACTGCTAACACAGGCAAGCGACTACACTTCAGAAGGACTGATAAAATAATGAAGAGTCCTTTAATCTACAGGAAACCATTGTAGTCAATTTATAAGAAATATTGCATCCCTTTGTAGGATGTGTAATTATTTTCTATTAATCATGTGCTATAAAGCTACATTATGTGGTTATTCTGTTATCACTAGAAAGAGGCCTGCAGTCAGCTCCTGACAATGTTAGGTAATTACTAACACAAAGCTTCTTTCTCCTTATGTAGAAACGCTATCAAGATCCAGAGGTGCTGTGATGCTCGCTGTATGAAAATAACTCTCCAAAGAAATTCAATAACTGCAAAATGAATTGCTCCAAGGCAAATAGAGGGATAGGAGAGGGGGGCAGGGCCAGATCCAGCCGCCCTGCAATGAGGAGAATGCACAAGTGTGTGGCCACGCTCTGCCATGTGACGGGGAGCACATTTGCCATACCAGGCAATGCTGGGCAGGGGCGGGGGGAGGAAGGGGCCACCGCAACCCCTGGAAGACAAACACCAGGGCAGGGGAATACAATATGCCAAATAACACAAAACAACCACCTTAACAAATGAGCGAATGCTCTCTAAGCTACTTCTATGTTTTCACTGTCTATAAGAGTGGCAGGTTGGGAGTTTTTTCCCCCCCCCCAGCAGAAATTTATTGACCAAAGTGAAGTAATTTCATAGGGCAGCAAGGAACAGGTTACAATTTAACATGCTGGCAAAACACCCTCTGTACAGCATGCTATGACAGCAGCGTAAAAAAAAAAAAATCCCATCATGGTTTGCAGGATCCTCAAATGCTCTTAACTGAACACTCTGTCAGCAGATGCTTCTCATTGTCCCCATCCCACCAATTTCACTGCACTGACGTGTATGTACCTATGACTCTATGAGACACTGATCATAAAAGTTTTTGTACGTGCGGAAAATGGAGTAGGTAGAAATACACCACTTGTTTTTTCCAATATCTTTTAAATTCAAGATTTTTTGTCAAGAATCTTAATATGCAAGAAGATACAATTTTTAAAGGCAAGAGGATTTCCAAAACAGTCTCTACCTTTAGAACAGATCCTCTGTGTAAATGAGTACCTCCAGATGCTTTGCACCATATTAACTTCTATTGACTTCAGTAAACGTTAAGAACATCTGGTCCTTGTGCAGTTAGTCCCTATTGTTCAATACATATGGTATGGTTTTTGCATTTGTGGGTTGGATTTTTTTATTTGTTTTGTTTTTTAAAAATATTTGCTGAAAATCATCATTGTGTTTCAATGCCTTGAAGAAAACAATGGACTTGCATTTAAAAAAAAAACAACTCAAAACTGAAGTGTGTGAATTCAAGATTTTTCTCCTGCCCTCTTCCAGTGGCTCTATAAGTAGTGTTAACTTATGGACTGAAGATGCAGAGACTTTAAAACTGAAAAGCAAAATGTATCTATAGCCTTGTTTGGGGTTAAAATAAGTAGCCTCTTGTATGAAGCTAAAGATGTGCAGAAAGACTGGAGAATTTTTTTTCAAAGAATATCCTAGGGGGCAATTTTGTCAAGATAATATTTTAAAACATCTCTAATTCATCTAGGGGATTCAGACTAGCTAAAAAATTTTAGAACGTCCATTGGTGTAATTGCTCAATGATACACTATCAACCAGGGAGTATTTTTGGCACAGAACAGTATTTTCTCTAAAAAGCAGAAAATGACAAATGTTACAGATAACTGAATGAGACTTCTTCACAGGTAGTACAGTTGTTTTAAGACAGTAATAAAATGGTCTTCTTTAAGAATATAAGCCTCTGATTCATTGTATGGTTGTGTTCTTAGATTTTATTTCCTACAATGACACGAGACAAAATAGATTAAAGAGCTCTTTAATTAATTTAAACTCTTTAATTAATTTAAAATTAAAGAGTTCCAATATAAATCAGGGTAAGCAGACTAAACTCTGAACCAAAAGTGGCTCCTGAAAACACCCCAGAATGATAGAAGGGCCATTTTATTTTCCATTAGATGACAAAATGTCAATTTTTTTTTTTTTCCTAATCAGGTAGGTAAATGCTATTATCAGTATGCAAACCAAGAGAGCGAGAATCACTTTGCATTAGTCTGTCTTAACTAACCTTCCATTTAAAGGCCTTTGCTCTTATCTTATGTTTAGCCATACACCCTTTTTTTTTCCCTGTGAGGAATATACCTGAACAAGCCAGAAGGAAGAAGGGTTCAACTCAGTACTGGATTTTAGTTTCAATCAGAAGCATCTCACTGAAGTGAATCTCTCAGTGCTCCCACTTTCCCCACCTTGGCTCACTTAGCAGAGCCATCGGTCTCGGGGCACACACAGGACATTTCTTTCAGATAAAACTAAAATGGAAGATGCACTTGGGTGTCCTCCAACCACTAAATGCGTTCTCAATTCCACAAAACCAGGCTAGACCTCTTCGGACATCAAACCCCTTTGAAAACGCACGGTGTGGACGTCAGGGCCTCAGCACTAAGTATTTCACTCTGCAAATCTGTTCCTACTGGTACTCTCTATTTGCTAAGGTAGACATAGGCAGTATGGTCATGGAAAGAGAAATTACTGCTAAATGTGAATCTCAGTATCATCAGTCAGAAAATAGCCTGACAGGAGAACACTTTAGGTTTAGTATGCCTTCCACATCTTTTTGGAAAAAAAAAATAAAAAAAATTAAAAAAAAAGATTATACAGGTTGAAATATGAGCATTTTCAGATATTTCTTGTATTGAAAGAACAAAAATCTACCGCACTAGAAATGTACAATCACTGAATAAAGGGTAATCTAGATACCAAGTTAACACTACTGTCATGGAAAATTCTAGAGCAAAGGGTCAAGTCATAATTTCCATGAATCATAAATACCAGAGTGAGCAGCATTATATTGCATTAGCATGTACTGAAATAATAACAGGGAAGAAGAATTCGTGTTTGACATATAATTTCTGATTTTCAAGTATTATTTGTTGGTTTATTGCAAATATAAATATAAATGAGATGGGAATTAAAATAGTTTAGAAGTTAAGAAATGGCAGTAATTCTACCAAGCAGGTGCCTACTAGCATCTAAATATATTTCTGTTGGTACTTGCATTTAGCTTTTGAAACTATGGAATTTCCCAACACAAAAGGTGCACCTAAAGCAAATAAACAATTGCTGCAAGGGCTGCACTTGCAGAAACTGTGCATACCAAACTTTTTTTTAAAAAAAGGGGGGGAGGGGTGGGGGGCTACCTCCACTCCAGTTGTCTTTGTTTCTGGAAATTGATTTCTCAAGTAACAGCTACGGAAGATTTATAAAAAGGATTGTTATGTTACAGTTTGTTTCCCCATTTATCACACAGGCTTGAAAGCAAAGGGAAGTCCTTAAATGAGCAGGAGTTAAGAGCAATCATCCTTTTAGAAAACAGGACACCCAAGTATTGCATTTCTAATAGTCAATATTAACTAAGAAATCTTATTAATGAGTCCCTCTATCAGTAGAGTTATAAACTCTTTCCTGCTGCATAGCAAGAGAGGGCTATGTAGTTTTCTGAAAGTTCACATGATTCATAGCATAAGTTATAAAGCCACTTGAATATTCAGGAATATTATAAATTAAAATTATAATATTATCAGTTTATCTGTGCAGAAACACAGATCAATTAATTTGAAAAGTTAATTTTTTTTAAAATAAAGAAAAGTTAACAAGTACTATTGCAATAGTTCTGTTATTTCTGCTGAGATTGAAAACTCAGCTTTTGAAGGAGACTCTCAAAGGTAGAAAAACCTAGAAAAAAGTTTTGGGTTTCTTTGTAAGACCTGCCACACAAAAGCTACTGTAGATATAAATATTTAGATAACAGCTAAAACAGTTTTAAAGCACCTTTAAAACAAGGGAAATATGCTTTTTCTACAGTTATTACACCAGCTGGGCATAGGTATTTGTATTATCAGAGTATAAGCATACACCTCCTGCTCACTGCACTATCACTGAATTTTGATGCTCCGTTGAAATTATGGGAAGGACCTGCCTTTGCATAATGCTGAGCTATTTGAGGAAGTAAACGTTGCCAAACTGAAACCTTGCTCATTCTTCTAAAAGGCACCCACCTAGAAGCTTACATGTAACATATTGCTCCTCTTGCTTTATTTAAATTATATCAATGCCCAAATTCACTAAACTGGTTCATAATTATTTCTGTCGTACTAATGATCTCATTCTTGGAAATGAAATAGTCACTTTTCTCCTAATTTCTATAAAGATATGTGAAAAGCAGGTAAAAATATATTGCTTTGGCATAACTATTGCTGAGACAAATATCTATCTTAACACGTTCATCAGAGCAAGCTATACCATTTATATTTCATTGTAAAACAAAGAACTATTACATGTTGCACAAATATACTCAATATTTTGTTAATGCTTCACCCTTCCTACTCTAATATTGCTGTACCTATAGTTACTTCCGTATCAAAAAAATGTGATTTTCAGGAGTAATGTTCACACCTGGCTGACAGATGATAGAAAGGCAATAAAGCCATAGACAGCTAGGTTCAAGCTGAAGCTGAATTTATGACACCATTTTGGATCCACACGCATCACCTCCTGTCAGTACCTGCACCTCTCAGTTTCAACCACTAGATGGTGTGAAAAAATAAAAAAATTGCCAAGGATTCCTGCCGACTGCCATAAAATCCAAGTATTAATGTAGTGGATTAGGAAATATTTTCTGAAGAAAAGTCTTGACCCACTTCAGGGCGGTTAGGTTCACTTTTCCTTTGGTTATATTTTCAGTTACCAGACAAAGAGCTCATAAATGATCAGACCTTGAAACTGAATCAAGTGGAGGGTTAAGATGGATAATTCTCTGGCACTTTCCCCTCCAAGGACCCTAAATTCAGAGCTGACAGTAGTGGCCAACACTCATTTTTCTGAAAAAGCTGTAACAATCTTTAAGCGAAACAGGGCTGAATTTTCTGGGCTGTATTTTGGAGTAGAAATCATTCCCAAAGAGAGAGGCTCTATATATCTGGAGCAGCAGTAAGGCTGTTTCAAGGACTGATTACGGATTAATCACGGCATGACCACAAGACAGTTGATATACAGAGGACAACTTAAGCTACTGTTTTTCTGTTCTGCTCCATTTTTTAAATTAAATTTCTCACTCTTTTGGGGAAGGAGTAGCAAATGATTTTTTTTTTCCTACAATCTGAACATTAAGATTTTATTAATTCCCATACCATACCACAAGAGCACAACCCACAAAGAGGCCAAACTCATACAGTAGAATCCATTTGTTCATGGGCTTTTTTAGGGGAGGGAGGAGGGAAAGAAGTGGTTATTTTAAATTAGTACCACTCTTCAGTGCTGTATAACTGTGGGAAAGTCTGCCCAATCCAAAAGTGTTAACCAGCCTTTGGTAATGCAATTCAGTTATTAGTTTAAGTGACAATGAAATACCTCAGAAGGCAAACATGGCCGCATTACCATTAGTAATATATCTTCTGTATTTTTATATAGGACTATCTTTCTATCCATAAATCTTAAATTTATTTAAACAGAAGCTGTTACATTTATTATCTGGAAACACTGCAGTTAAAGGTATCACGGAAGATTTAAAGCAATTGTGACAACACTGAAGAGTTTGAAACTAAGACAAACAGATGCCTTGAGCTTTCATGCACCTACTTGTATATTTCAATGACCTACAATACCTTTGGCATTAATTAAACTGAACAGTAATTACATTTGAGATATATATTCTACATATATTTTAAAAGGTGATTTTTTTCAGTAAGAACTTGAAAAGATCATTTTTTTTCTAATATGTGGGGAAAAGAAAAATTCCCTCTCATTAATTGTTCAGAAGTAAACTTCAATGAACCATGAGACATATATTTTAGGAGAGGTTTTGTTTTTGTTGGGGGGTTAAGGAAAAATAAAAAAATTAACCCAGATTAGAGTAAAATTTCATGCTTATATTGCTTATCATCACTTTAGATGAGAGGAATTATAATTCTCATTTGCTTTGCAAACAGGAAAGCAGTAAATTAAAAATTGCCCAAATCTGTCAGAGTAAATGAATTTGGAATCTAAGCTGTCAGGACAATTACAATATACATACAAGGATGAAAGCATAGTTCAAAAAAACAAACCATCTTCTGTAGCAAGATGCCCAAAAAGTCAGAATCAGCACAGTCAGGAATATAAAACAGGAAACAAAAAACATAACATACAAGATAATTTAAAATTCTACAAGGTTAAACTTTTACAAGCAGAAAGCACATTGTCTCCCATTAAATCAGTTAACAAATGGTAGCCAAGATTTAACAAGTAAATAAACACGCTTTTAAGTTAATTCCTGTTACACAGCTATGTTTTAAATATGATTATAGTTTCTTTGACAAAATAATTAATTGCAGTGAATATCTGATTGCAAACAAAAGATCTGAAAGGAGTGCCAATTTCCTCTCACAGAACTGTGGGAATGTGCCCTACTGCCATGGCTCTCCTTTCACAACTATGTAGCCTCAGTAGCATCCCGTACCTTGCTGAGAATGTAGATAACATCACCACGTTTAAACGTCAGCTCATCAGGTACATCTCCTGTGCAGTCCCACAAACCTTGGTAGAAATTGGCATAATCGGTATTTTTGCCATCTGCAAAGACAATGGCAAAGGGTAAAGACTGAGGCACTAAAGTTACTCTTTAAATCTCCAGATACTACAAGGCAATTTATTAGTTCTCATTTCTTACTCTTCTTTTTAGAAACAGCTGCTTCATACCACAAAAGCAAGTGGAAAACAAGTTTAACGTGCGAGCCCTTCACTGGCAAGTCATATCACTTAAAGACATGTAGCTACAGGTTTTCAAAGCATTTTCCAGCTGCAACTTAAAGCAGCTAGTTTTCCTTTACTTATGTATTTCCAGCAAGTCCTATTTGTATCTTAATTTGAAACTGATAAAACTGCTAGAATATAATTAATAATAATCTGTGAAAGGAAGCCAAAATAAGTATTTTGTGATATACTCCCCCTCCCTCTCCTGTTCCAACAAAACTAAATAACTTCTCTGAGAACCTTTGAGATAATCCTTGATTGTTCCTTCTGAAATATTGGAGAACTTGGAAACTGTTGCTGAAGCTGCATTTTAAAAATATTTGTGTCAGCTCCAGTTTAGGACATTAAGCTCTGGCTAAACATGCAACTACACTACAGTCATAAACTCATCCTTCTAACAGCATAAGCACAATGGATGTGCTGTGTTCAAGCTGCCATACAGACCATTAACTGATTGATTATTTAGCACTCTCTGCTCTGTAATACGGCAATAACACAGTAATAAATGCTTTGTCATACACTTACAATACAGAGTACATCTATTGAAACACAGTGCTTACACACAGTTAAATACACTGGGTGCTTCTGTTACACTGCAAACTATTTCCTGTTTTTAATTCCATGAGAATGGAGTGTGATGAGTTAATGCAAAAAGAATGTAAGCAATACCACTAAGATGACCAGTTACATTATGTATACACTAACCAGACAGAATGTATATGTACTAATAATTTACATCACTGGAAAGCTATCTTCTAATTCTGATAACATAAATATCACTGAACTGGCTGGATCAAGGCTGTCATCTTAGTTTTGTTATATGATCCTTGAACAGCAGGCTTGCTGGTTATTCCAACATGTACCAGTTACATTTGCATGTCGTTAACACTCTACACCATTATTTATAGTTTACAATTTAATCATGATTGGTTCACTTTATTACTGAACAAATCCTGCTAAAGTATCAAGTATGAAGCAAGAGAAAGTGTCACGCTATAAAAAATACAGCAATATTCAACTTGTGTTTTTCTGTATTTTGACAAATACTTATATTTTAATTTTAATAATCTCGGTATGAGCCAGAAGAGCTTGTTTTCTATTTATCCATTTCAGTCTGTATTCTGTGCTGTCTTGTTTTGATGGCAATACTGTCATAAGGCTAAATATGCACAACCTGGAATTCAAAGCTGCTGTGCAAGTTAGCCACTATTTAATTCTCCATAACCTGGTGATGCAGAGCCACCACTCGGTGTATCGCACCAGGGGGCGTTCTGACCACCAGTGCACAAATCTGCCATCAGCACACCAAAAGCAGTAATATACACCTATATAAAAACTCTGACCATTCAGAAATAAGATATTTGGTTCTTGTAAAATGCATAGACAGAATAATTTTTCAAGAGGAAGGGGGAAGCATTTTGAAATGTTGCACCTCCAAATTTTGGCCCTTCCAATTTGCCAGTTCATTATTCACCAATTTAGCATTAGACATTTATAAACAGTAACACAGGTTAGCACCAAATTAACTTTTGACAAATATTAACTCAGAATCTCTCCTCAGTCTTTTGATTCCACACTGATCACAGTTCCCAGCTCTATCTCTTAAAAGAAAATGTAAGCCCATGTGAGAAATAATGAAATAACTCTTTTAGTTTTATCCCACCTTTCAAATCCTTTAGCAGTTGTCTTATTGATTTCATTTAAAATATATTAATCAGGAGTTTTACTTCTTCAAAATTGCACTGAAATGAATCATGACTTTTCATACTGATCTTTATCACTTTGAGGCCTGTTCTTACCTTTCTGTGCCTGAAATAACTCCTATTAACCCTAACGGGAGTTACATGGGGAACATCAGCAACATAAGAGGTCCCACAGCAGGTGAGACACATCTCTTGCTAGATGTTCATTGTGAGCATTTAATTAAGCCTTAAAGTGGGAAAGCAACTCAACTAATAACACAGCAACACTGGAAAAGATGCATTTTAATATAAGCTTATTGCTACAGTGAAGATGTTGCCCAAAGACTAACCATGGCTCTGTGCCCTCATATGTGAATTCAAAGTAAGACAGAGCTGTTTAAATCAGAAAGCCACATTTCTTGGTAAAACATATACTGGTATACCAGGAGCACAGAAATGAAAAACGGGGAGAGAAAGTGCCAGTGTAAGTTTGTGAACAACTATGCTGCTCTTCCAACAAGTGTTAATTTCAAATTCGAAATCCTTTCTCATACACACCAGCACAATTTCTCAAAATTCTGTAAGTACAACTACACACTCATGAAAGCCAATTGTAAATTTAACTTCAGAATCTACACATCTAAAGGGCAACATGCTTCATAAAATTATTCATAGTGCTTCACAAACACAGAGGTAGAACAAAAAAAAGCAGCAAAAACCTCTGTAAAACACAAGCCCTTTCTTTCTTTCTTCAGCCTCTCTTTCAGTTGGAGAGAATCCTGCCCTATTTCATTTGATTGCCTCTGAAGAACTGAGTAAAACAAAACCGGGAGACCTGGGTAAAGGAATTTGGTATTTATATGGTAATTAAAATATGTGGAGCTTCTTATCAATACACATAATACATGAAAACAGCTGGTGGGTTTAGCATCAAGAACATATATGCCCATTAGAGTTCAAATTCAAAAGGTATTGATTTGCTGGCATTACTCTCTCACAATTGCACTCTATTCTTACACGCTGTGAAATGTTGTATGCCTTAAAAATACTATGATGACATAATTGCTAAACTAAAGTCTGTTGTATTTTGAAGGCATGATCATTCAGGCCACAAATATGAATAAGACATGATAAAAGAAAAAAATGAAGTGTGTAGCAGAGGGTAGAAAGCAGTTTGATTTTACCTATCCATTTGCTTTTAATATTACCAATCACAACAAATGGCTGAGCAGGATTTTGGATAGGTTGTTTCTCTAGGAAATAATTATTTCATTCCAGGACAGCTACCTGAATCCAACAGTTTCCAAAACTCTTCCACAAAGAATTCCTCATGGTTTTCTGCTGCCATCTTTGTTATTCCAGTAACAGTAATAAGAACAACAGATATCTTTGTCCAATATACTGATGAAAACACATGAGAATTTATTGACAGACCAAATGGCTGCCAGCCTTCCTGATGGTAGGCTCAGACTGCTTATTTCACTGAAAAATACTGGCACCTGACAGTACATGCTTGAAGAAAGGTGAACAGTTCAGGTAAAAATATCTGACAAGTATATCACTTAAGCATGCACTTTCAAATATTATAGACTGTTTAAAACTTAAGAATGCCCATGGATTACTCAAGGGGAAAAAATTATAAGAATATTCTAACAGCCTCAATAGACAGGAAAAAACAAACAAACAAACAAAAAAAAAACACCCTCAAACCTGAAAAAACAGATTAAGATTGCTTATTTAAAGGGATTTAAATGTGCTGTCCCACTGCAACCTAAGCCAATCTAACTGCAGGCTGTTCCATTCATGCCCCCTTCCCTTGTGCCAATTTTGGCACTTGCCATTTCTGAGCACAAACTTGGCAGAAAACTAAACTGGCCAAAACAAAACCAGGAATTACAGCCCAAGTATGGAAATGCATTACTTAAAACATTAGAATAAATGTTACTGTGCCTGATTTCCATTGATCTTCCATTTTAATACTGATGGCATCTAAGTCAGCTAAACCCTGTTACAGTAGCGACTTAAACTTAGTAGTTATATTATCTCCTTACACATTGCTTATGGAATGAAGGAACATGCATGTATGTCTTCCTTTCACCACTGTGGTCCACTGCCCAGTACATTAAACAGCTTGCCATTCTGATTTGTATCCTTGACTCTTGATCAGATTCTTCACAAGTTTATAGCAACAGATTTGAAGATTACTAGTCTGGGCTCCTTAACAATATTTGAAAGAGACGAACTTCTGGAAAATTAATGTATCCCTTTTTGGTGATGACATGCTCAATATTTACCATACTGCAGGCTTAAAGATGGAGAGATAGGTAAAGTTCAAAATTAATGCTCCCAGAATGACTCTGTCTTACACAAGTGGTTTAGACTCTCAGAGTTCAGACTCAATGCCCAGATTAGACATATGCTGTTAAAGAACACAGTTATTTGTTTGTTCTGATGATGTCCTAAACTGCAAAGAATGCCTGTTACTTACTTATTTGCCTTTTTTCCCACATGTCGGCAAAATTATGAGATAAGGGCAAAATAATTGTAGTGTGTTCATTTGGACTCAACCTCTAATCTAGGCCAGTCTCTTCAGTATAATCTTTCTCACTTCCCTTCTCCTATTGTTCCATAGTTACTCTAAAATCCAGGTATTTACACTGAGACAGCACAGAACATGACATTTACTGAAATAGTGATTGTGGTAAAATGGGTACATAGTGGCAGAAAAAAAGATCCAGCAAGCCTTATAATATAACTGAAACTCTTCAACACTTTGGTATTTTTAAATAATTAGGTCACTAGTAATTAATGTAAAACTCTTTAGCAGCAACAGTCAGCACCAAGACTGAAGGAATAAAAAGAACTCAAGCCTGCACATTAATTGAACTAGAGACAAGTTAGAGCAAGAAAAAGAGTAGAAAAATAGTCTTTTGCACTTATCAGGCTGAGCTCACAGACAATTTGCAGAATATTTTCTGTGAAAATTAGGTTTAGTAAAGCTAAGCAATAAATTAAATTTAAGAATGTATGCACTGTTTGTGTGGAAAACTGTGAAATATTGAGTCAGGTTAGATATTTATGATGTGATGCCTATCAGAAATACTCATGCCAACACAGCCCTAAAAGACAAACAAATTTCCAGTGTAAAACAGTTAACTAAGTAAGATCAGATCATAAAATTATTGCATTAAAGGAATCTGATATCTGGGGAGAAGTGTTATGGTATTTTCAAGGACATTACACAAATACTAGTAAGACTGGTGAGACTGTTCTCATAGCAGTTGAAACTTTTCAGAAATAAAGGAGCTAAGGTTTTGATTTTTGTAAAAGTATAACCATTTAGAACTTCAAGAAGATACATTAGTGAAAAAAAAGCTGTTGTCAACTCTATAATTGGATTGACCCCATGCTCCATTACGACAACACACTTTTATAATTACGGTAATGTCTAAATGAGTACTGAATACTAAGGCTGTAATGAGTCATGTTGTTTTACACATGTTTTTAGCAGAGCACAATACTAACAGCATCTGATGACTTGGCTCTTGTTTCCTTTCCAAGAAAAGCAACCCAAAACTCCTCACATCAACCTGTTCCTGCTTTCCTGTATGGGTCAGGAAATCAGGCCTCTGTTTCCTCTCCACATGTTGCAACAGGAAGAGCACTGCAGAGCTACTTCCTAAAGGAACTCTTCTTGCCCACCCTTTCCTTGACAGCCCTGAAAGAATTATGTGTACTCGGTACGATGGGGGAAGGAGAGCCAGAATGCATGTCAGTGCAGGTCACAGTTACAATGCAGCAGATCTCAAAAAGGTGTAAGGTCTGATAAGCAGCAAGTCTTCTCTACTTGCTGTGTCACTTCACCAATAGTTTATCTAAAGGTCTGTGCCCTTGAAGCACATATATATCTTGTTTTTAAGCATAACTGGAAATACCTTTCTGTCAAGAAAAGTTGTCTGGCCATATGACTTTACATGGTGTTTGCAGTTATTTTTCCAGTCCCAGAGATAATTAGCACAAGGGCAGTTTGCCAAGCTAAAGCTGAGAGAATATCCTTCACAGTCTTTCTGGGCATTTGCGTCCTTTTCCAATTTTTATGCTGCTGTCACTGGACTCTGGCATTTCTTACCCAATTCATTTGCTTTCTGTGGTAATCATATGCAATGAAGATATGCATGGCCAACATTTAAACAGGCTGCAGATCAATTAGTGGTCTTAAGTTTATCTGATTTTTATCAAAGAAGACAGAGCTTTGGGTCGATTGTCAGAGCCTGTGTCAAGTTGACCTTTTCAGAGATGTCTACATTGCCAGTCCCTTGGGCAACTTGTTGTCCCCTGTTAGTCTCTGAATGGCAGAAGTCTGTTCTGCTCAAGCACAAAGTATACACAGATGTCTATATTACATTCTTATAGGTTTGACAGCAACTGCATGTTGTATCTATAAACTGTCCTTTAGCAGTGACACTTCCTCAATGATGATAAGCTAATTTATGCAACTAAATCTCCTTTGTGCAGAAATGAAAGCTAATTGAGTCATTACAAAGTAATTCAGGAAGGAATACCTTGTATAAATTGGCTTACTTTATAAATCCTTCTCAAGTGGTTTTCATGCATCCTAAGTGGTGCTAAGCAGTTTTGCTGCCATCAAATACCCAGGTGAAAAAGACAGCTTTACAGAGCTATAAAAACATTATTTTAAAACAGTAAAGGGAAGAGAAAAGAAAATAGAGATAAAAAGAAAGTGCATACACAAAATAAAGAAGAAATATTTTAATTACCTGAAACAGCAGTAAGTTTCTCCTGGCTCAGTTTTCTTGGCACTTCAGCCTTTGAAGGAACTCGTTCTTCTGCAAAACACATAACTGCAAATGAAACTCTGAAGGGATACCTCAGCTGACAGGAATTACAGTCCACATCAGTCTGAAAGGCACACTCTACATCTCCAGATTGTAAGCCCTGTTTACTGTTTTGCATTTGTACAGAAGTTGGAACATTGTTATTTCTGTGGTTTCCCCCACCCATCCAAATACTCCAAGAGCTTTCTTTCAAAATCTCAATTGTGAACATCTGTTTCCCTTTTCATTCTGCTCTGAATGTGGTAATATAGAGCTGGAGTTCTGCTGTTTTTCAGTCATTCTGAGACAATTGGAACAAGGGTCCTATTCTGCTACATACATTTTTTTTCAAGATAAAGAAAAGGAAATTGAGGATTGAAAAAGTATCCCCAGCCTATGCAAGAATTCAGTTCTTAAAAGAAGTATGCAGAGAAGGCAGAGGACATCTTACCTTCAACACTGTCAGAGACATACACTAGCTGGACACCTGCATGATGGGAACACAACCACTACAGATGCCATGCATTCCGTGCTCCTGCCTACTGCACCTGACTGGTCATAAGCAAGCCGGACTGTATCAAATAACTTAGTACCAGTTTGGGAGACAAGAAAAAGAAAGCCAGGCAGTGATCAGCTCTGAAGCATGTTTTCTGGCTAGCAGGCTTGGAGCACTCTGAAATCCCCACAGGCAATTTTGAAGTATGCTCTACGTACTCCTTGTCTGGCACAGACGGGGAACTCTCTCATGCCCACAACCTCACTTAACTAAATCCACACTCCACTCAGTACAGGAACATAAGACCTTCTCCTCATATTTCACAGTCAACAATTCTGATGATGAGGTAAAAAAGGGAAAAACTATGAGGTTTTTTAGCTGTATTCTTTCTTTAGGTTCATAAGGAAGTAGAAACAGATTTATCTTGGCCTTTACAGTATATCAAAACTGACAAAGCTGCTGTACAGAATGAGGAAATAGTATACTGAAAAACCCACTTCTCAAACAAGAATTAGACTTTTAATACATTTAATCTATTTTGGCTTTGCTACTCATCACATCTTATACAGATATTGCTTCTTTTTAAGGCACACATTTCAGCAACTAATTTTGATATTTTACTAATGACAGAGAACAGACACAGAACTCACAGCTTTTAAAACGTTCCTTATTGTGCAACTTTTATGTAATTGCCTAATTTGACAAAGAGTGAATTTTATATCAACAGTTCAAAAGATTTTTAACCTTGTAAAAATTTAATCTATCCACAAGACTGTTCCTGCAAGCATTAAAGCAAATGTTTAAAGCACAAGAGTAGACCTGTTGAAATGAGTATGCATAATTGCTGCTAACCTATATACGCAGTCCTAGAAATATTACAATTACATCATGAGATTCACTCTACAAAGAGCTTTGAACTTCTGCCTTACTAAGCCAGCAAAGGTTTTTTGCTGCCTGACTCTTTACTAGGTAAAAATCTGGCTGAGATGAATATAAACTATTATTTGAGCCAAGGAGTAAAACAATAGAATGAGGGAAATCTGAAGCTGCAGTACAACATAAAACACTCCAAACAAAACACTCCAAACTATTTAGTGCATTCAAATGTATTCCCCCACTTGGCATAACCCTTGTGGCACATTTCCAAGTACACTCATTTGGGATTTTCTTAAGCACTCACAATTGG